TGGGTAGGGGGCGAGGGCTGGAGGGGATGTGGGGGATGGGGTAGGAGTGAGGGGGTGGGGCTCCCCCTGCCAGGGTGTTGCTCTTGACCCCTTCTGCTCCTGTTCTCTCCCCCCAGCACCCCCTCCCCCGGGAGCAGCCCCGCCCCTGTCCCTGCCCCTGCCATGAGGTGCAAACGCTGGGGGCCGTGCGCCCATCGGGCTCTGCAATGCAGCTCCCACCTGTGGCTCCGGCAGCATCGATCCCACCCTGGCAGCGGCGCTCCCCGTTGGCCGGCAGGAGGTGCCGCTGCCCGAGCACTAGCGCTGGTAAGGGGAGCTGGGCCGGCGATGTAAAAATAAGCCCCTGGGTCAGCAGAAAGAGCTGAAACCCGTCGCGCCCGCTGCCAGGGCCCAGGCATTTTGCACTGATTAAAATATGAGCAGCTGTTGGGCTATAAATAGAGCCAGGACATAGCTTGCCTTAAAGACCAGCGCTCCCAACAGCGAGAGGTTCGCAACCTGCCCCTCGCCACCTGTCCACAGGCAGTCACAGTGGGGCACCTGGCATTCCCTTCCCCCGACTCGCGCTGCCCCGGAGCCCGGGGGGGGGGGGGGGGGTTGGGGCTCCTGTAGGGTCCGCAAAGCCAGAAGTACTGCACATGGGCGCTAAATCATGGCAGTGGCGGAGATCAATTTGCACATGGCAGTGGTGCAAAGCCGTGGCCAGCGTGTGGAAGGATTCACTGAGGTCAATAACGGGGCCAGGGGAAACATGAAAGCCCGTTTGAACAGGCGGGTGATGGTAGGGGCATGAGTTGAGCAGTGTGACCCTGTCAGAGAGAAACCAGCCCTTTGCCTGGCTCGCCTTCCCTCCCGCAGAGGGTCGGGTCTCACCAGAGCAGCCCAGATGTTATCACATCCAGAAACGGCCCCACAGCAAGCCACAGACGTCACCTTTATACATGGAAGGCCTCGTGCTAATGTTGGCACTGCAGACTGAACTGTGTGATCTTCCCACTGGAGCTAAGCGTGTGGCCTCTCTCCAGCCCTTTGCCAAGGGCTATGGCCGTCTCCGTTGAGAGGCGGTAGCTATAGGAACAGAAGTCCCCATTAGACTGG